AAAGGTTTAGTGGGAAATAGGAGTAGTTCCTGAGAGACAGGAGGAGTCCCCTAGTGTGTTGTCCAGGAGGTTATTTTCTTTTAGTGCTTGAAATACTTCTGTCCAAGCTCTCCTTGATTTAAGGGTTTGTGTTGACAAATGTGCTGTAATTGTTATGTGCTTTCCTATGTAAGTGACTTGTTTCTTTTCTCAAACAGCTTTTAGTATTCTATTTTTGTGTTGAATTTCTAGAATCCTGACCATTATTTGTCTTGGAGCAGATTTGATTATGGCTAATTAGAATTTTATTTATTTGTCAAATTTTTTTCCATACTTAGGAAGTTTTTTTGTCATTACTTCTGTGAACAGGTTATTTATGTCATATCCTTTTCCTTTTTCATTGACTCTTACCAATTGATCTTCTGTTATTTGCATCAAGCAGCAGCTGTTAGATTGATTTTTCATGGTCCCTTCCTATTTTTAAGAAATCTTAAAAAAAAGAAGTCTTTCTTTTCATCATTGCTAACTTCAATTCTCTGTTCTTGATCTGCTATTCTGTGCTCATAATGATTCTTTCTGTTTCATATACTTTCAGTAGAATTTTTAATCTTCTGGATAACTGATTGAATGTGTTTTATGGATTCCATGTCTTTCCTGTGTTGGGCATTCATGGTTTCCATCATCTCCCTAAGCTCCTCTATTTTTTAATATTTATCTTCTCTAGACTTGGTAATTATGCCCTTCATTATGATCATCATTTCTGAAGTTATCTGAGAAATTATTATTATTATTTTTTTGTGCTTCTTTCATTTGACTTACTATTTCCACTCAGAGAGTCTAGGGTGAGTGGCTTTCAAATTGTTGCACCTCATTGCCCAGTGGATTTGTCTTTGGTGAGCTGGGAGTGGGTTGCACCTTGCTTCTGTGTCTTCTCATTTTTCTATTTTTTTTTTTTTTTTAATTCCTGTGTTGATTCTTATAAATTATTTATGGTAGGTATCTTTATTGCTACTGTTGAAAACCTTTAGGCAGTGACTACTTCTCAGCGATGTCTTCCAGGTGTAACTGGCTTTTCAGTTTTGAGTCTGTTGCAAATCCCCTGCCTTCAGCACATTGGGGATGAGAAATTGCTATCTATTTTGCCTAGCCTCTGGTTCCTTGGGACTGGCCTATAGTATTGTTTATGACTCTTGTGCAGTCTAAGTCTTGGTATACAAGGTAGAATAACTGATTAGAACAATTATGTCACCTTGGCTTAAGTAGTATAATCCGTAATAACAATAGCATCAAACACACCCTACAATAACAAGCTGTGGTACCATTAATTTGCCACCTTTAAGTATATGAACTCTATTTATGGTTATATAAACAATCTAAAACAAATCAGAAGCCCTGTATGGTGGTGTACATCTGGAATCCCAGCACTTGGGAGGCTGAGGCAGGAGAACACTGTTAAGTTCAAAGCCAGCCTTTGCTACATTGAGTTCAAGATTACAGGGCTGTTCTATCACATACAGTGTGCCACATTCACATTTATAATGACTATAACTTTCTGGAGTGCTTACCCTTTTATCATGATAAAATATCCTTATTTGATTCTAAAATTAATTCTTTGGTAATCTGTTCTACCTGAGAAAGTCTCACCATGTTTCTTTGATAATACATCTTTTTCCATATTCTGTTTTTTCCCTAGCTGGGGATTGAACATAGGACCTTTGCTGTGAGCTACATTCCCAGCCTTTTTTTTTAATGTCTTTTTGTTTTATTTTGGGACTAGATCCCAGTCAGCCACTAAATTGTCCAGGCTCTGCTTGATTTGCAGTCTTTCTGCCTCAGCCTCCTAGAGTGCTGGGATTATAGGCGTGTGCCACCGCACCCAACTGTATCCTTTTATTTTGTAATGTATTTGTGTCTTTATATTTAATATGGTCTCTTGGAGGTACAGCGCAGCGGTAGTGAGACAGGAGGTTGGAGCATGGCAGACGCTGGCTGGGAAAGTAATGTGTGACCTGTTAACTGCAAGATCACTGGTGCATACACAGGGCAGTTTCTAAAGCTCTGTATGGGTACTCCTCCCAGGAACTCCGGGTTTTCAGTAGGATAGCTTAGACTTGAGTCACCCTGAGGCATGGGATCCCAGTGCTGCCTCTCAGAACCCATATGTAGACGTTCTTGCAGTTTCCTGGAGATTTGGACAGCATAAAAGAAAGGCAGCTACGAGGAGGGATGCTATCATAACTTTTCATTTTTTGTCTTTTTGAGATAAGGTCTTGCTATGCAGTTCAGGCTGGCCTTGAGCTCACTTTGTATCCCGGGCTGGTCTCGAACTTGCAATGATCCTCCTGCCTCAGCCTCCTGAGAGCTGGGATTATAGGTGTGTGCCACTATGCCTAGCCCCTATAACTTTCTGTGATAGTGCATAATGTGTTTCCCAGACGCGGCATGTACTTTCATCTTTCTTCTTACTTGGACCAAGCTCACTCTGCAGAGCCAGTTTCTCTCCTACTCCTCACTTTTGCTTTGTTGAATAAACGTGGCGTCAGGTTTTTTCCTTGTTTTGTTTAATTCTTTGTTCTAGATGAAGAACCTGGAATCCAACTGCAGAGAGGTGAACAACCCCAGAATCCAGTGATGCTTAGTTAGCAAGCCACTTTTGAAAGCGGGCTAGCTGCTAACAGTAGTGTGTGCAATTAGCATGTATAAGGCTCTGGATTCAATCCCTAACAAAAAATAAAACAAAAAAAGAGCCACGTGTAATAATACTGAATTATTTTAAGGAAAATTTTATCTTTGGAGGAAATGGAATACATGAGACCTCTTGTACTTTTTTTATCTTTGTGATTCTAAAATTATTTCAAGTGTATTCATAATTGCTGGTTACTGTATTTTTGTGAGAGCTGCTTTGAGATTCTTGCCTGGTAATTCTGTCATCTTTGCCCGTTGATTGTGCTTACTCACCCAAATTGAGAGTTTTCCTGGTTTCTGTTCCGCTGCGTTCTTTGGGGTTACACCCTGGACATACTGCGTGTTATGCGACTCTGGCCCCTGAGCTTTCTGCACTGACTCGGAGTCCCTGGGGAGGAGGAGAGGCACTGCTTCTTCTCTGCTGGCCACCTTGTGCAGTGGGACGGTCAGCGGCGCCCTGCTCACCGCGGACTCTGTGGGTGGGGAAGCGTCACTACCTCAGGGCTCCGGCAGGACGGAAGTGGTGAGCTGGGCTCTGTCCCCGACCTCGGAGCATTGTGCTTGGCGGTTGGTGTAGCTCTTGTCCAGGGTTTTCAGTTATGGTAATTAGAAGGAAGCATAGGGTTCTTTCTCCAGCCTGTCCAGAATCAGAAGTGTCTTGTTAAACATTTCTGCGTGTTGTAATTTGATTTATTTGCTCTGTGTTTTTTTTTTTTTTTTCAGGCAAATGAAGATAAAACGATGTCTGCCAACCTAAAGTACCTTTCTTTGGGAATTCTGGTCTTTCAGACTACCAGTTTGGTTCTAACAATGCGTTATTCTAGGACTTTAAAGGAGGAGGGACCTCGTTATCTGTCTTCTACTGCAGTGGTTGTTGCTGAACTTCTGAAGATAATGGCCTGCCTGTTTTTAGTCTACAAGGACAGTAGTAGGTATCTGGGCTTTTTGTTTGTAATTAGTACAGTTAATTTAAATACATATATGGAAGCTGGGGATTAAGTTCAGCAGCACAGCACCTGCCTGGCAAGCGCAAGGTCGTGAGTTCAATTCCTGGTACCGGAAAAAAACCAAAAAACCCCCACAAAAACCAACATATATGTAAATAATATTGTAACTACACATTTGAATTCTTGCATTTTTCTACTTGAGCTCATAGTAAGAGCACTGAAATGTTCTAAAAATTCTTATTAAGACAGTTTTAGTTGGGCATGGTTCATGCCTTTAATCAGCACTTGGTAGGCTAAGGCAGAAGGATACCCAGTTCTATTCTAGCCTGGGTTGTATATTTGTATATAGATCAGCCAGGGATACATAGTGAGACACCATCTCAAAAAATAAAACAAGCAGGCATGGTGGCACATTTCAGTAATCCCAGGACTTGGGAGGCTGAGACAGGAAGGTTGCTGTTGTGTTCCAAGCCAGCCTGGGCTACATACTGAGTTCAAGGCCAACCTGACAGCCTGAACTACATAGCTAGACCCTGAATTTAAAAAAAAAAAACGCATAAATTTTAGTCTAGCAATAAAGGCATTTTAATTTAATCTGTGTTACATCTTATGTCTTCTGAGTAATATAAATATGAATTGTGGTTTCCTGTACTTACGGTGTAATAATTTGAGAAGTAAATTTTATAATTCTAAAACTGTTAGGACTTTAGAGGAGTCATAATAATTTTTTTAGTAAGGACTTTATTTTCTTGCTACATTGGTTAGATTAGTCCAGCAGTGGTTAGTTTGACAGTTTTTTAAAAAGCAGTTTTACCGACATGGAATTCATGAACCATGTAATTGCCCTGGTTTCTGTTTCCTTTTGGTGCTGGTAATTGAACCCAGGGCCTCAAGCATGCTAAGCACATAGTGTATGCTCTCCTAAGCTACATCTCAGCTGTATGTTATGCTTATTTTATTTCTTGTCGTACTGGGAATCAAGCCTGGAGCCTTGTATATGTATTTGCCCCCTCTTTTGTTTTTGTCTTTTTGAGACAGGGTCTCACTGTGCAGTTCAGGCTCGCCTTGACTCACTTTGTAGCCCAGGCTGGTCTCAAACTCGCAGTGGTCCTCCTGCCTCAGCCTCCTGAGTGCTGGGATTACAGACATGTGCCACCACGCCTGGCTATTTGTCCATTTTAAGGGTACAGTTTAATGGTTTTTGAAGTATTCAGTGACTGTTTTAGGTTGTGGTATGCATCTGTTTAACTTAAGTTTGTCATTTTAATGAATTTTAATGTCAAGTCATAAACAGAAGCTGTGTAACTGTTAAAAGCTCTCCATTTGTCCTTATGTGTAGCCCCTTATAACCTCTAATTTACATTCTGTCTCTGCCGATTTTCTGAGTCTAGATATTTCATGTAAGTTGAGTCATACAATGTTTATCATTTTATGCCTGGCTTATTTTCCTTAGTGTAACGTTTTAAAGACTTTTCCATGAAACATGTACCCAAAGTTTATTTCTTTTATGGCTGAAGAATGTTTCATTGTGTAAATTTTCTGAATATTCATATATTGATGGACACTTCGGTTGTTTCCACTTTTTGGTTGTTTGAACAGTTCTGGAATGAACAATGTATAAGGCTGCAGTGATGCTGTTTAAATCCTTATTTTCATCTCCTTTGTACGTGGAGGAGTAGGGTTGCTTGGTCCTCTGGTAATTCTGCGTGTATCTTTTTTAGGAAAAGGAAACTGTCAAAGTTTCTCATAGCAGCTTCACCATCTTATGTTTTCACGAGCGGTGTGTAAAGGTTCCAGTTTTCTGCATTCTCTCTGAAACTTGTCCTGCTCCCTCTTTTATATCGTGGCCAGACTGGTGTGCGTGAAGTACCGTCTCGTGGTTGTGACGAGCGTGTCTCTACGCACCACTAGCGATGACTGTCCAGTGCTTGTGGACCATTTATACGTCATCTTTTGAGCTAAACTTGATGAGACTTGGTAATAGGACATGCGGAGGTCAGTAAAAAGAAGAACTCCAGTTTGAGAAAGAATTTCTAGGCATTTAGATTCAGTTATTGGGTAATTACTGGGTATTGCAGTGAAGGCTACATGGAAGGTAGGTTTGAAGGAAATTTAGGGCTTCTGTTTAGAGCCCTGTTAAATTTGAGATACTATAAAGCATTCAGATTGAAGACTCACCGAGAGTGTGTGAATGTGAAGCCGAAGGACTTGTCAGTTTGTATTTTGCCTTAACATCAAGGATTGCAAACGGAACCAGAATGTCGAGGACCGGATGAGCTCTAACCTATGATATACACTAGAAGAAAGCCAAAGACTGAGCTCTGTACCATTCCTGGTTGCTGGAGGTCAGATTAAGTCGGGCGTTGTGCATCCAGCACCGGGAGGTTGAGGAAGGAGCATTGCAAGTTTGAGCCCAGCCTGGGTAACGCAGTGAGACCTTGTCTCAAAATACAAACCAAGAAGGGCTAGACCAGTGGTGGCAAAGCTGTGGCACACGTGCGGCAGAGTCATCAGAACCCTCCCCTCCGGCATGCGAGCCGGTGCAATGAGTGTTTCTAAATGAACACCTCCGTGTTTGGGTTTAGTGGTGGTGTTGGTGCCTTGTGATACATACGTGAGCGAGTTCTGGGTTGCTCGTTGGCGCTCGGTCTCTAAGGGTTCGCCGTGACGGGTCTACACGAATACAGGTATCCACTGCATTTGACACTGGAGTCAAGGATACCTTTAACACAGATACAGCGTTACGGAGGGTGCGATGCAGTGAGCTTTCAGTGAACTGAAGTGCACACAGGTGCACTCTGCAAAAATAAATTCCACGTGAGTAAAGTACGGATACTTAGAAACAGCCTTATGATTGTAGCACTGCCTGGCTTTGTGACTTTTCAAACAAGACATAAAAATAAAAATGAGCCATAAGGAAAAAACATCGTTTGGGAAGGTACATAAAATGAAAAAATGTGTGTATATCAAATCAAGTGAGTGACAAGGCACAGTTGGTTGAAAGATACTTATATCACATGGGACCACTAATAATTTCTATCCAGAACTACAACAACTCCTACAACTCAGGAAAAGAGAACAAGTCCGTAGGAAAGGGGCCAAAGGCCAGCAGTAGGCAGTTCACAGGAGGGGCACCCTGACTGGCCGACTGCATCGGAACACGCAGGCCTGAGCGGGTGCTCAGGGACGAGGCCCTGGCTGGCAAGTGCAAGGCCTGGGGTTCAGTCCCCAAAGCTATCCGAAAAACAGGACAGAAGAGCTCGGTCTTGCGAGCAGTCAGGGAAGTCAGAACCGCAAAACAGTACTCTTGCCTCAAATTTATGAAACGGGGCTGGGGATTTAGCTCAGCGGCACAGCGCCTGCCTGGCAAGCACAAGGTCGTGAGTTTGGTTCCCGGTACCAGAGAAAAAAAAATCAAATTTATGAAACAAGTTTAACATACTAGGAATTGGCCAGAATGTGGGAGAACGCTTTCCCCAGTGAGAAGAGGTCATGGGAGCATATATCACTTCAGATATGAATTTAAAAACAAGCTCATGTTTTAGATTTTTTTCTTATAAATCTAAGAAAATGTCTTTCAGTTATTTTTATTTTAGTTAACAATGGTTTTATTACTTTGGGATCCGAAAAGGATATTAGGTAGCAATGTTTAAATTGTTTTCATTTCAAAAAATATTCCACCTGTAAAGCCCATAATCCCAGGCAGGCTGAATCTGGAGGACTGCAAGCTGAGTCCCACCTGGGCATCTTAGTAGGATCCTGTCTCAAAGTTAAAAATAGATGATAGGTAGGTAGATAGATAGGACGAGCTGCAGATAGAGCTCAGTGGTAGAGTAGCCCTAGGTTCAATCCTCAGTACCACAAAAACAAACAGCTAACAAGAAAACAGGAAAAATGTTTCGTGGACTGACCCCAGGCCTTGTGGTGCACACGAGTAATTCCAGTGTTTGCAAGGCTCAAGCAGGAGGCTTGTGAATTTGAGGCCAGTCTGGGTTACATAGCTAGTTCTTTGAGGCCAGCTTGGACCAAATAGCAAGATTGTCTCAAAACAAAAGTAAACACAAAGTCGGGCATGGTGATGCATGCTTGTAATCACCTGTAATTCCAGCACTCGGGAGGCTGAGGCAGGAGGATCTGTGAGTTCAAGGCCAGGCCGACTACAAAGTGAGCTCAAGGCCAGCCTGAACTGCATAGTGAGACCCTGTCTCAGAAAAGACAATAAACAAGTAAGTAAGTAAATAAATGAGTAAATAAACAAAACAGAAACTTGTCATGATCAAAGTTTTCCTGTTTGTCTTAGAGGGGGTCATCTACAACGTGCCATTGTTGGTAAAGTATAGGGCTTCTTACAATTTTTCCTTTCTTGATGGGTTTATCTTTGAAAATTTTTTTGACATATTCTGTGATTAATAACATAGTTTGGCTAGTTCAAAGTCTGTTTACAATTCCTCTCCATTTCCTCTTACTGATGTGGAGGAAATGAAGGAAAAGCTTTGATTTCCCAACTCTCTTGCAGGTGGGGTAACTAACAGTCTAGGTCAACTAGAGTGTGGAAAGATACCTTACGGCTGTTGTTTCCCCTGCTTCTTGCTGCCTAAATCAAAAACCAGTGGTTCAGCACACATTTGGTGACCTTGTAGGACGTTATGCAGCTAACAGATGAAAAGTGTGACGGTAAAAAGCCAGTGTATTTCAATGTGTGCACAGAGGCTGGGTCCCTGAGTTGCTGTGGAAACCTTGGATTTGGACTTCTGCTGTGTGAGACAAATTGGGCTGCTGTTAGAGCTTCTGTTGTTTGCAGCCAAACCCGCTCCCTGACTTACCCTGTCTTCATGATTAAATCTTCACAATTATTAGTTGCCGTGAATAGCTGCTGATGAATGGGAATGCACAGAATACAAATTTTTATAGTGTTACCACAGTAAAGAATACTTGGTTGAGAAATTAATGCACTGAGCTTTTGCCATCATAAATGTGTGTGTACACACGTATGTGCATAGGCAGACACATGGTCAGTTTGGCTATACCATATATAGGCGTGAGAAAGTACAACAGTAATGTTCTTCTGAACGTGCTCCCTTAAAATATTTACAATTTGAAAAATTAGCATCACAGAAGTATGTTTCAGACGTAAAACTACCATAGCATGTGGCTCAATTTCCTGTGTTTACGAGTTAGAAAACAGACCTTGAGAGGAAGCATGTCCAGCTTACTTGGAGTTAATTATTTACTGATTTCTTATTTGACTTGTTTATTCTAGAATGCAGTCTGAGAGCACTGAATCGAGTACTACATGACGAAATTCGTAATAAGCCTATGGAAACACTTAAGCTGGCTATTCCGTCAGGGATATATACTCTCCAGAACAATTTGCTCTATGTGGCACTGTCAAATCTAGATGCAGCTACCTATCAGGTACCTAAATACATTACTACTCGTTCTTTTAGAAGAAGGAAGGACATAAGTGAACCATCAGTAATACTGCTGTTTTCTTTTTCAGGTCACTTATCAATTGAAAATTCTTACAACGGCGTTATTTTCTGTGTCTATGCTCAGTAAAAAATTAGGTGTGTACCAGTGGCTCTCCCTAGTAATTTTGATGACAGGAGTTGCTTGTGTACAGGTAATATCTAAGATAAGTATACCTTTCGTTTTCATCAAGGTTTCAAAACCTTATTATTTTGCCTAGAGAATATGGTTCTATTGTTGAAGTTAATAAATGTGGACATATTTTTTTGAGGGCTTCCTTTATGAAAAAATGCTACATTGACAATGTGATAGAAATAAATAAAAATCTTATATAAAGACATGAATAAGTGAGCCAGGGCCAGTGGCACATACCTGAAATCCAGCACTCTGGGAGGAGGCTGAGACAGCAGGGTTGCAAGTATGAACTTAGCCTGAGTAACTTAGTTAGACCCTGCCTCATAACAAAAAGGGCTGAATGTAGCTCAGTGTAAGAGCCCTGGGCTCAATCCTCAGTAACCACCCCCCAAAAGAAAATTGGACTGGAGTGTTTACTCAGTGATAGAGGACTTGCCTAACATCACAAGACTCTAGGCTTGATCCCTATCACCACACACAGGAAGAAAGGAACGGAGAGGTGGAGAGAACAGTGACCAGTTAAGGACTGCATATTAAACATAGCTGATTAGTGCCGGATATGTAAAACATTTGACGTTATTTGCTACCCCTTAATATCTGTCATTTTCCTTGAAACTATTTTCTGGTTCTCTTACGATTTCTGATAAGATTCCTGTCTGTCTGTCTGTCTGTGTATTTATTTATGTATTTATTTTTATTTGTGAAATGGTTCTTTATTGATTTCCTTCATAGAGTCTTCTCACTCTCTTTACATATAGATTAGTTTGTGTCATTAGACAGTTTACCAACTTAGTGAGATGCTGTCTTTAAAAAAAGCACTGGGGAGGTAGCCCTTTGCTAAGGCCATGGGTTCAGTGCTCAGGACTGCCAAAGGAAGAAAAGTTTGTTCTGGAGTAGGACAAGTTTGAGTCATGCTAGCTTCAAGGAGGTAACAAGTTTCTGAGTAGCAGTAATTGAAATGTTGGACTTGAGCTCAGAGGATGTGTCCTACTTCTGTGAATCAGCTCTCCAGCAAGGAGAGGCTTCATATAAACTCTACTGTATGATAAGAAGCCTTATGTAGCTATTTAAATTTAATTAATCAAAACCAAATTAAAATTTTAGTTTTTCTTTTTTTCTTAGCTTTTTGAGGCCGTCTTGTTCCGTAGTTCAGGCTGGTCTTGAACTCACTGTGTAGCTCAGAGTGGACTCAAACGTATGGCAGTTCTGCCTCAGTCTCTGAGCGCAGGGATTATAGACGTGCCCCACTGTGCCTGGTTTAAAATTTCAACTCTTTAGCCATACTGCCCACATGTCAGGTGCTCAGCAGCCACATGGAAATAGTGGCTGCTCTAGTGGACAGCAGAAATACACAACAGAAAGTCTGTTGAGTACTGCAGAAGTAAAGCTTGGGAGGGGAGGACCAAGCAAAGCAGGCCATTGCAAGAGGCAAAGAAGGAGTGACACTGTCGGGACCACGGTGAAGGCAAGCTGAGGGAGGAATGAGTAAGTTTTTTGTACCAGGAATCGAGCTCAGGGCCTCGCACTTGCCAGGCATGCGCTGCGCCACTGAGCTGCAATCCTGGCCTGAAATGAGTAATTTGATTTTTTGGTTCGTTTCTGTTTTTTGAGACAGTCTCACAACATAGTTCACAGTGGCCTAGAATCACTACTGTAGGTCATACTGGCTTTGAACCTCATGATGATTCTCCTGCCTCAGCTTCCTGAGTGCTGAGGTTACAGACGTGTGCTGCCACACCCATAGGGCTCTAGTTTTGATATTAAGAGTTATGGAATACTTTGATGGAGAAGTTTTTGGTAACAATGAACGGTATACTTTCAAAAGGAAAAATGGCTTTAAGAAGTCCAGCTCATAGAAGATCAATCAGAGAAGTGAAAAAATAGACTTCTTTCCTTGGAAAAGTTTTTCTTCATTTTGCTTGATTTTGCACATTTTTTTCCAGTTGCCTATGTATTTGCTGAGGAAACGGAACATATGATTGTAATCCTTTCATCAACCTGTTTGCAATGGTAGCCTTTAAAAATAGCCTTTAAAAATAGCCTTTAAAAACAATAGCCTTTAAAAAATTAGTCTTTAAAGGGTTATTTTAAAGTAATAGATTGGTCTCTGTAATAAATGAAATGTAAAGTATTTATTGTCCGTTAGAGTATTTTTTGAAGTCATAGGTTGGAATAGTAAAATGTTATTACTATGGGGTAAAAGTGATTCTAAGATTTTTATTCAAAAGCTCTTCCTTGCAATTCCTCATCAGGGTTTCAAATGACACTGTATGTATTTTTACGTTAAGGTCTGTGGAGGCTTTTAGTATGTACTTTATAATACTTTACAGAAATTAAACATGAGCTTTATTTCTGCTTGTATTTAGTGGCCCTCAGAGTCCCAGGAGCTGGACTCTAAAGAGCTCTCTGCTGGTTCTCAGTTTGTGGGCCTCATGGCAGTTCTCACAGCCTGCTTTTCAAGCGGCTTTGCTGGAGTTTATTTTGAGAAAATCTTAAAAGAAACAAAACAGTCAGTATGGATAAGAAATATTCAGCTTGGTAAGTTTTAAATGTTTTCTAATATATTTTAAAAAGTGATTGTATTTTTTTAAGTGATATGTTATATTTACAGATTTCTATATACATTTAAAATCAGTACAGCTTGCCTAAAACCTGCTGTTGATGCAGATATCCGGCAGTGTTCTGCCTTTTAAAAATGCCCTTTATTCAAGCGTGTGGGCGTGTGGAGTTGACGCAGGAGTGTAGCTATTCTCCCCTCAGCAGTGGAGGGCAGTACATCTGCCCTTGGCTGCCACTTTCCCAGAGGATAGCAGCACACCTCAGTCCTGGAGAACAGGTCTGAGATGCCTCCGTGAGGAAGTGGGCAGTGAGGAATTCTTCACTTCTTTTAGAATCTAAAACTGCCCTTATATTTCAGAGTGTTGTGGTTTAGCCCTTTAACAACACAGCATTTGTCTAACTGGAAGTATGTAGCTTAAAAGGAAAAAAGCGCACACATCGAAGGGTTTCCTGTTAACAGGTATTTATAGCATTGCTGTATTTCAGTCCCACACAGGGACTCCAGCATTGAGTGTTCTCGGCTATGGCCACGTTGGACAGTACTACATACCAAGCTGTGCGTGTGAGGAGCAGCTCATTTGCGGACCAACACCTTCTATTTTAAGTCTTTATCTCTGCGATTTGGGGGCTTCTGTTTTACACCCCCTCTCCTCGGTATAATAGATACACTGTGTTTCTCTTGATGAGCAACTGCCGCAGTTTTTCCAGGTCCTAAACAGTAACTGCACTCAAAATGACTCATATCTTAAATTACACTTTCCAAACTTAATTAAAATTTATCCAGTAATGCGAAAAAACCCTGAACCTCCATTTTATCACAACAGAATTTATGTTCCTCTTAAAATTTGTAAAAATGTATTTTTTTATAAGAGCATTCAACATACATATTTTTAAAGGAAAATTTAATTATCTTTTGCTCAGTTTGTCTAGAAGTCAGATTCACAGGCTGGGAGGCAGTAAGCAACTTAATTTACCATTTTAGAGAGAGTGCATGGATGGCAGAGTGGTTAAGCACTTGGTTTTGAGTCATCTCAGTCCCGATTTCATTACTTCTCACCTGTATGACCTTAGAGAAGTTACTTACCTTTCTGTGCCTCACTTTCCTCATCTATAAAGTTTAGTACCTATTTATAATACCTATTTTATATGTTATTACGAGGGTCAAATGAGGTAACACTCAAAGTATATGTCTTGCACATACATTGTCGTACGCACTAATGTCAGCTATTCATATAAATGTGCAAGTAGAAAAAAAGAGACACTCAAGGTTTGTATGAGTTGGCTAAAATTTTTTGTATTGTGAGGTAAAATTGGAAGATAAAATCAGAATTCTTGATTCTGAGGTGCTTCATGGGTCTGTTTGGTTTGATCTGACAGCACTATTCTCATGGAAAAATTGTAAGCCAACTGAAAAGTTTTGAAAGGATACTTAAGTACGTTAGAGAAAACTCAGTATTACAAGAACAAAAATTAAAACAACATAACAGCGCTTTTTCAAATACCAAATTATAAAAGATTAGGAAATGGATAAGAAACCTTAGCCAGAGAGTAGAAAAATACTCTTACCTATGCTTGCTAGGAATACGGATTGATATAACCTTGTTAGGTCTCAATTTGGTAATGCCTACATTTTTAAATCAGTGTAGGCTTTGATATAAGAATTTAACACCCGAATGAGAATTTATCCCACAAAAACAAAAAATAGATGTCCAAGGTTCTTCATTTCATCATTGGTTATAATTGTAAAAAATAGAAGAAAAGATAGGTTAAGGTGGGTTTGGTGGTGCACGCCTGTAATCCCAGCACTCAGGAGGCTGAGACAGGAGGATTGTTGTGAGTTCCAGGCCAGCCTGTGCTACAAAGTAAGTTCAGGCCAGCCTGAACTGCATAGTGAGACCATTTCTCAAAAAGACAAAAAAAAAAGACAGGTTAAATAAATTACTGATTTGATTAGATAACATAGTGGTTAAGATCATAGATTCTAAAACATGAGGAAATAAAAGAGAAAGAAGAGATCAGACTGCAGAGCTTACAGTTTTCTCATCTGAAAAGTGGACATACAAATATCTGTCTCAGGTTTATAGTGAGTAATGTGCATGAAGCACTTAGAATAGTCCCTGGGACACAGTATTACATTGCTATATATGTATAATATGTATGTGTTACTTAGTAAAATATTATGCAACTGTTAGAACGTAGTAGGTCTGTACATACTGACATGTATGACATGTATGTCTTTGCATGCTTGTTAGCTTTCCATCGCTGTAACAAATACCTCAGAAAAGCTAACTCATAAAGAGAGTTATTTTGGCTCACAGTTTTAGAGGTGTCAGTCCGTGTTTAGTTGGAGCTGTTGCTTTGGGCCTGTGGTAGGGCAGAAGTCATGATAGGAGCACATGGTAGAGAAAGCTGTTCACCTGTGGCTGCTGGGAGGTGAAGGCGGCATGCCCCTGGTGACCTGAGATCTTCCCCTAGTTCCCAACGTGGGAAACTTCCGCAGCCTCCCAGTACTGTCATGAGCTGGGGACCAAACCTGGGCCTTTGGTTGACAGTCTAGCTCTAGAAGGAAGGAAGGACGGAGGAGGGAAGGAAGGGCATAAGTATGTAATTATCAATTCCTTTTTTTTTTTTGGCTTTTTGAGACAGGGTTTCACTATGCAGTTCAGGCTGACCTTGAACTCACTTTGTAGCCCAGGCTGGCCTTGAACTTGTAGTGATCCTCCTGCCTCAGCCTCCCAAGTGCTGGGATTACAGGTGTGTGCCACCATGCCTGGACACAATGCTTTTATAAATTAAATTTTAAAAATATATTTGGGAGTATTTTAATACATTTTTTAAGCACTTCAAAACCAAATGCTTAATGTTTAATCTGGCAACATTCATTTCATATTCAAAATTAGACACATTAAGAAGGTAGAGGCATAAATGAAATTGTAATAGTATTTTACATTCTTTTCAGTTCCTTTCCATCATAGGAAACTGCCTAGTTAAGGCTTTATGTGTATAAAAAAATTCATTAATCCCAGTCCTCTGCATGTATTTCAAAACTACCTATAAAAGGTGGCCCTTGTACCAAGAACTGGAGGGAGGGGAGAGAGAGGAGAGGTGAAAAGGATGAAAAAAAATCAAGGTGTGTTATGTACATACAACCGTTCCCCACGAGGAATATAATCATTGCGTATTGCAAACATGTACTTAAAAAAGACATCCATCTCTAGCAGTGCTCTTGGAAGTTTCTTAGGCCCAGTAGTGTTGGGTAGGCAGTGCTGCAGAGAACTTAGCAGTGAGCAAGGTTGTTTTTGCATTCACTGAGCTGACTTGCCGTAACCGTAAGACTTCAGTGATCCATACACATTCTGATGGTGTACAGTTATAGGACTTTTTCTCTCCGCTGATTTTTTTGGATATTGATTATTGTACTTTTAAAATGTCTAAATACAAAACAGTGCTGTCATATGTGACTTTTTATATATGAATATATATGAAAGTAAATATACCAAAATCTAAACATAGCAATAAAAGATATAATACAAGAAAAATGGCATGTTAAAATGAGCATCTTACAAACATTTGAAGGAGCTGCCATATAATCATGTAATTTATGTTGGGACAGCAACGTAATTATGTAGTTAATTCAATATATTATTTAAATATATATGTATTATCTTAATACTTGAAGTTTGGTATCTTTGGTCTTTTTTATGTTTTTATGTCTTTATCTTCTTACAGTCTTTTGTCTTATAGTCATAGTATAGTACCAAGTATACTTTCGTTGACAAATTTGTGTAAACCAGCTGGGCATGGTAGCACGTGCTTGTAATACCAGCATTCTGGGAGGCTGAGGCAGGAGAATTGCAAGTTTGAGCTCAGCCTGGGCAACTTAGCGATTTAATGAGACACTGTCTTTTAAAAAAAAAAAAAAAAAGTTTATATTAACCAAGTGAAAAATCAAGTGTAAATAAAGTATAAAGTTATTTGGAATGTCAGTAAAAAATATCTTGAGAAAAACTATATGACATAGATTTCATTTTTTTTTTTTTTTAGGTTTCTTTGGGAGTATATTTGGATTGATGGGTGTATATATTTATGATGGAGAATTGGTATCAAAGAATGGATTTTTTCAGGGATATAACCAGCTGACCTGGATAGTTGTTGTTCTTCAGGTAAAGCATGTAAAGTCTTTAATGCTAATAAATACTATTTTATTATAGAATCAAAGTAGTTACTTATATACTGATTTGAGGGGGAAAAAATTCCCTCCTGTTAGTTTTCTCATTGTATTTAGTTTATCCAGGAAAGTTAAAGTAGAACTCGTCTTGTTGCCCTTAGGAAAAGTTATTTGAAAAAGGGTTGTGATTAAACTCTGGCGTATGTGAACTTAACATTGTGAAAACGCAAGTTTAAGAATAAAATAGTTGAAGCTAAGAGCAAGCATAGCTTTTGGTTTTTCTGCAGCTTCTGTCATTACATAGAAGGTCTGTGGTGTAAGACCCAAGAAGCAAATTGAATTCTGCAACAATTTTTAGATTCATTTTATAGTTACATATTAGAGGCTGTCACAGTTCTTCAGTTATATCTGACTTGAAATTGTTCAAGAGGAGTAATTTTACTGTAAGAAATTCTCGTTTCAAGCTGGGCATGAGGATGCATGCCTGTGATCTGAGTACTTAGGAGGCTGAGGCAGAATGACTGCAAGTCTGAGGCCAGCCTACGTAGCAAGACCCTGTCCTGGAAATTTGACCCTGTCTCAAAGAATAAAATGGGCTGGAGGTGTAGCTCAGCGAGCAGTACAGTGCTTTCCTAATACGCTTAAGGCCCTGGGTTTAAACCACAGTACTCCAAGACAAAACCAGATCAAACCACCATAAGCATCAAACCCTCCTCACGCTCACATGAAACATACTGAGTACTCAGGAGGACGTACAAATAAAGATACAGATCATTGCCCTGAGGCGTTTTGCATATTGGAATGTTTGGATATACATAATGATTTATCTTAGGGATGGAACTCAAGTCTAAACACAAAATTACGTTTTTTTTTATATATACACCTTACACACATGGTAGTTTTATGCAGTGCATTATTTTCAGTGCAGCTGTTTTGTGACTATACCGCATCACAGAAGGTCAGGTATGGAGTTTTCCATCTGTGTAGGAGTTTGAAGCATTTTGGATTTGGATGAGGGATACTCAACTTCGCAGTCAACCCTTTTGCAGTGCTGGGGCTTGAACCCAGGGCCTCAGGTATGCTAGGAAAGTACTCCGCTACTGAGCTGTACTCAAACCTCT